CAGGGCTTCCCAAACTTTTTTTTGCTGTGCCGCCCTTGGGGATGGGCCATTTTTTTGCGACGCCCCCAGTGATGAAAACTGCCTACCATGCCTAGTTGTAGTTCTAGACAAGTAACAAGTTATCAGAAAAAACTCCGAATACATTTTATATTTTTTTATTAATAACAAAATAAAAACATAGCCGAAACTAATGGGACGGATGTGCTTGCTTTTCTGAGCATAGCTTTTCAAAACGGGGCTCAAGATTGGAAATAGCTACTCGCATTTCTTTCTCGACATTAATTTTCGATCTGTACTTATTTTTAATTACTGCAACTGCAGAAAAGCCTGTTTCGCACAAGTACGATGTCGCAAAGGGTAGCAGAACCTTCAATGCCGCAGTGCTGATGGCACGATATTCATGAGAAACTGAGCTCCAGAATTCGAGCAGTTTGTCTTTGTCGTATTGGAGCTTAAGACTGGAGTCACAGGACAGTTCAATCAGTTGTTCTTCCTCCGCTGTGGAAAGTGTTGATGGTGGTGTCGACTGAAAAGGGTTCCTAACCCAGTCATATTGCTCCAGATTTTCAGGAAAATATTTGGCAAAATGTTCATTTAATGATGACAAGTGCTGTGTAAATATTATTTTTATGGAGGGATCGAGGGTCTCTATCGATTTTTCATGTAGAATGCCTTGTAAAGCAGGGAAACAGTCAGTATTTACTTGACCTTCTTCTAATTTTCTCTTCCATAACAGCAACTTCTTTCGAAATCCAGTAATTTTATCTGCCAGTTGCAGTATGTGAGTATTGTTTCCCTGCAAGGACTTATTAAGCTCATTTAATTTTTGAAAAATGTCGCAGAGATATGCCAATTTTATTAGAAAATCAGTATTAATAAAACTTTGTGCATCATTGTGTGATTCGGTCTGTAGATAAGTGTAAAACTCATTTCGTAGTTCGTGCACACGTGCGAGTACATTGCCTTTGGACAACCAGCGAGAGTTGCAATAATAAATTAAAGAGGTGTGCTGGGCACCCAATTCTTCACAAAGCTTATGAAAAAACCTTGCTTTCACAGGTCGTGTTTTAATGTAGTTCACCACTTTGATAACTATGTCCATCACAGCACTTAATTCAGGTGAAATGTTCTTTGCAGCCAAGGCCTCTCTGTGTATGACGCAATGTGTCCATTTTACATTTGGAGCCTTGGTTTTGATGAGAGCTTGTAGTCCTCCATACTGTCCAGACATCGCTCGAGCACCATCCGTACACACACCCACACAGTTCTCCCATTTAATATTATTTTCGGCCATGTAAGAATCCAAAATCTTAAATAGATCAATAGCCTTACCACTATCATATATTTTTCTGCAAAATAACAAATCCTCACATACATTTATTTCTTGTATGTACCGCACGTAACATATCAATTGAGCATCGTCATTACTATCGGTCGCCTCATCCAGTTGAATGGCAAATGAACATGAAAGTTTTTCCACAATTTGCTCATTAATATCTTCTGCCATGTCATGAATACGGCGGCTAATAGTATTGTTTGAAAGCGGTATATTTTTTATTTCTTTAGCCGCCGATTCTCCAATCATCACTGACACCATATCAACCGCAGCAGGTAAAATCAGTTCCTCAGCAATCGTGTGAGGTTTCTTACACTTGGCGACACGGTGAGCTACCTTGTAGGAGGCGAGCAATGCTTTGGAAGGAACTGACGCTCTTGAAAGCAAAGCCGTGGACTGATGTTTCAGGTCTCGCAATTTTCTAACAAAAAAGTCTTTCGGCTTACCTTGCAAATGACTGTGAGTTGTTTCCAAATGACGTTTTAGTTTATTAGGAAGCATACTTTCAGCTGCCAACACTTTATGACAAACAACACATTGAGGAAGTTCTTCATTTCCTTTAGTAATGTATGTAAACCCAAAATCTAAATATTGGTCGTCATATTTTCTATATTTCTTTCGTTTATCTGTTGTTTCTTTACTGCTTTCTCCTGAGCTTTCATTTCGTTTTCTATCTCTCTGAATATAATTATCCATAATGATAGGTACTCAATATCAAACGTCCGCGTGCGTAATTAAACAAAACAAAACCTCGACTGAACGAACGACATGAACGCACGGGGAATGGGGAACGGGCGGGGGATGTCAACGGCCAGCCCCGCGCGCCGAACGTCGACACCGACAGACTGCGCGCGGCGCTCACTGGAGATGGTCGCGTCGATACAAACTACCAAATGCGGTTCGCCTCGCGACGCACAGTTAGGGAAGCCCTGTTATAAACATTAATATTATCACAAATTTCATTTCTATTTGTTACTTGATGCTGATTCTTTACTCGACATCCAATTTTGAAGTGATTCATTTTTCTACAATTAACACATTTTTTTCCATACGCCGGACAGCTCTTTGCTCCATGCCTGAACCCACATTTCTTACAGTTATATTGGTCTTCATTTGTTTGCTTCCAGTTCCTTGCATTATCTGATTTTTCTATGGTTATTTTCTGCACATTACTTTCTTCACCGACATCGTTACAATTTGTTAACAACTGTTGCTGATATCTAGCAATTTCTGCAGATTTACAGTGATCAATGGTTTTGTCTAAACTTAGATATGGTGCTCTTAATAGTCTTTCCTGCAGACTTTTATCTCTAACACCTAAGACTATTCTTATTCTCACCATGTTTTCCTCTAGAGGCCAAAAATCACACCTTTTAGCCAGGTTGCTAATATCTCTAAGAAATTTGTCAAACAATTCTCCCTCTTCTTGAGAGCGTCGAAAGAAGTTAAATTGCTCAATTATTATATTAGTTTTAGGCTCATAATAATTTTTAATTGCTTCAAATATCTTTCCTATTGAACCAGGATTATTTACACTTGTAATGTTAATAGATTCTAAAAATTCTTGGACAATTTTTAGCGTAATAATCATTTATAAGAAAAAAAATATTAAAATATGATGTTTATTATTTAAAAATATTTTTCAAGTTAAATAATAACTCACAATAATTGCATTATTTGATGTCTGTCTTTATGACATGGTTGAATTTTATATTTTTTTGTTAATTAAAATGTTTGGTTTTTCTAAAGAAAATACCGTTGTCATATAAAACCTACACATTTTATTAAATACTTACAAATAAGTGTTACTATACTATATCTTACTATATTGTTCTAAGAATGCAATATTTTTTTATCATTTGTTATATAAATGAACGTTTTTTTAAAAATATCGTTGAAACAGGTTTTTAACTCTATGCACGCTCCAATATTATATTATCATACACGAACATTCGCTTACTAATTCGTATCGACTAAAGAGAGAATTAACAATTTTGTAACGTTTTTTTCGGCGTAATTATGCACTTATATGTTTGACATGGGAACAAATAAATAACTATTTTTTTTTATGTTAAATTTTATTTATTCCATCAAA